GCCCAGCAGCGTGCGGGGACTGGCTCTAAGTGCAAGCGATGGTCCAGGGCTGCAGGCCCAGGGCAGGGGGGCCCTGGCTTGGCTCCGCCCAGGGACACCTCTCTCGTTGCTACTGCTGCTGCCCCTGCCTCGAGATGGAGCAGCCATGACCCTGCCTGGGCCCCTCAGAAGCCAGCAGCAGCAGCAGGGAAAGGCCGTCCCCGCCCAAAGGCAGCGGCAGGCAGGGGAACAAGGTCCCCATGTCCCCGGGGGGGCAGAGGATGGTCCCCAGGTGAGAGGCACATGGAGGGCGACCCAGTGGCAGGTCATACATTCCTAGGGGTGGCCATGGCCCCGGGTGGCTACAGGTCCTCGTCGCCGATGCCCTCAAAGGCGTAGTTGCCGTGGAAGTCGTTGTTGCCAACATCACCAGCAGAGCTGGAGTGGCTGATCCCTCGGAGGCTGACGGAACTGAGCTTGCTCTGCAGGTGAGGGTGCACGTTACATCCGGCCCCGATTATCCACCCTGTGGCCCCCAGCCCCTGCTGTCATCCCCCCAGCCCCAGTGACTCACTGAGAGCTTGGCTATGGGCTCCCTGCTGCCATCCGGAGAGTCCTGCGGGGATACGGACAAACACGCAGGTGGGAGTAGACACTGGGGGGCAGGGGCAGGGCAGGGGCAGGCCAGGGTGAGGCAGCACTCACCAGAAGTGGGGGTGATTTCACGGCCTGCTGGCTGTCGGAGCGCCGCAGCCCCCCATTCACTCGGCGTCGGAACATCTGGGGAGGGCAGGAAAGGCTCAGCAGGGCCAGGGGCCCCCTCCCTGCACAGAGCGTTCCTGCCATGACTGCCCCGGGTGTCCATCCCCACTCAGTCCAAGTCCCTGCCCATAAGCCATGGGGTTGCTCCTGGCAGCCAGATCCCCTGGGGTTGGTGGGGGCCAGCTACAAGCCCCAGTCTTGTCCCCCAGGCTCTCACCTTGCGGATGCTGCCTCCAGACTTCTTCACCATCAGCTCGTCCACCATGGACTGCAGGCAGATGCTCAGCATGATGGCCTGAGAAGAGCCACAGTCACAGCCAGCCTGGCCCCCTGCTCCACTCCACCCAGCTTGCCAGGGATGCTACGTGTGGCTCTGGGCACTGGTGCAGCAAGGTGACAAGGGTAGTGTGGGGTTGGGGAACCTGCTCCAGAGCAAACCTACTGTGGCCCTGGAGCCCCATGCATGGCAGACAGGCTGGAGCCCCAGGAGGGGCTGCAAGGGAACAGGCCCTGGCAGTCTCGCACCTCGGGGCTCTGGCTGGCCACAGGGCCAGGCCAGCAGGGAACTTCCCCCCCATTAATGTTTTATTGGCTCTTGGAGATGTGGGCAGGGCTGAAGGGTCCCAGGGTCTCTCTCTCCTCTGGAGCACTGGCTGGAGCTGTCCCTGCTGGTGCCGAGACAGCTGAGGCTGAACTGTCACCCAGTTGGGACCAGGACGGACTCACCCTCCACACAAGTCAGCGGGGCAGGGCTGGGGGAGAGGCGACCCCCTCTAGCATGTTCCCTGCCACCATGGCTGGGTGAGGCCCTTCTCCCCACATGCAGCAGGGGCCAAGGCATTTTTTTCCCTGGTGGGTGGAATTTATGGCTGTGCAGGGGCCAGAATGGATCATTTTGGGAGTCCTTTGGGCAGATGACAATCTGCAAACAGGCAGCCCCTTCTCCAGCACCAACCCCTGCCTCTGCAGAGGCACTAATGTGGCTGTACCTGGGGGCTGGTGATGGTGACCCACTGCAGCCGGTCCTTGCTCATCAGGTACTCAAAGGCCAACTCCAGCTTCACCTCGGCCTTTCCCGGGCCACTCCCTGCTGGGCCGTTGGTTGTGGGCACCTGTGAGGACTGAGGATGAGGCCAGGGCTGCCCCTTCCCTGCTGGGATCATGGGGGCATCGAGCAAAGCCCTGGCGCCAGGCAGGGACTGGCTCCCAGCCAGTACTGGGCCTGTGCCACAGGAGGAAACACAGAACTCCAGGCCCCGTGGCCCTCAAGGTGACGCCTGCAGATGGGCCCCGGGCCCCTCCCGCGCACTCACTCACCGAGGATGTGACACGCCAGCAGCGCATGCGGGTGACCTTGAAGCTGCCCTCCTTGATCTGCTCACTGGGCAGCCGCACCTGGAAGTTGAGCTCGTTGTTGCCGGCACTGACAACGACGTGGCAGCCCCGCTCAGGGAAGTCGGTCACACAAGGGTCGAACTTGAGATAACCGTAGTACTTCAGCGTCTGTGCCAGCCGGATGAACTGTGTGCAGGAGCCAGAGCCAGGCCCTGAGTCAACATGGGCCCTGCACAGATCCACCCCCCTCCACCTTGCCAGGCCTAGCTCTCCACTGGCCTCTGGGGCTTTTGAGGTTCCCTGCCCAGCTCTCTGCCAGCACCTCAGGTGCCATGCTGCAGCCAGAGACCCTGGGCTCCTGCCCGAGGCACAGCAAGGGCCAGGCTGGCACTCTAGCTGGAGACAACCTGGATGGCCATGGCAGTACCCACCTCCTTTTTGGAGACCTTCTCCTGCAGCGACTTGAGCTGCCGGTGCTGCTCCTTGTTCACCAGGATCCAGCCACGCTCTATGTCTGAGACGGTCTGTGTAGGGGCAGGCCAGTCAGGCCAGACTGAGCTGGAAGCGGCCCCAGCACTGCCAGAGGCACCCCCCAGCCTGGGCTGCACTCACCTGGGCATACAACAGGTTCAGCCCCACGCGGTGCTCCATGACATCGTCGTCATAGGCTGAGTCCCAGTAGCTGGGGAGGCAGCGCAGCTCAGCAGTGCAGGCAAAGGGCAGCCAGAGGTACTCGATATCAGGCTGGGGCCAGCACTGTGGCCCTGGCTCTGCTCCCCCCATCCCTGCCCCACCACACCAGCATGGCCTAAGCGAGGGGCAGGAACCAGGGGTCTATGGGTAGGGGAGCTGGGAGGTCTGGGCCTGGCAGGGGCAATTGGGGTGGGGGAGGAGTGGGGGGGCCCAGGGCTTCTCAGGGCTATGGCTGGAGTGGGGAGGGATGAGTTTCCCCCAGGATACAGCATGGGGCCTAGCAGAGCAGGGGCAAGGAGTAGCCCAGCTGCTCTGAACTGAGAGGTGTCAGGCAAGATGCTCTGGCCCCAGCAGGCCCCAGTGGTGCCCAGGAGGACGGGGGTAGGGCAGGACTCCCCAGTGCAACTCGCCTCTTGCGTAGGATGATCCTGTACTCAGGGTTGTGCAGGCTGGTGACGGACACATAGGGCAGCTCAAACTCCTGCAGCTTCCTCACAACTGCACAGGAGAGCAGTGCTCAGAGCTGCCCGTGGGGGGCTGACAGGACCCCTCCCCTCCCCACAGCCCCCACTCACAGGAGAAGCCTCCATCCTTGGTCTCTCTCACCAGGAAGAGGCTGAAGTAGCCAACCAGATCATCCGGCAGGTCCAGCTTGGAGGCTGTGGCCTGGGACGCATTTGCAGGAGGTCACTGGACAGGCAGCACTGGCCGCCCCTCCCTGCCCCACCCCACAATTAGGCACTTTCTGCCCCAAGCCTGGGCTTGGGGGTGGAGGAGGGATCACAGCAGCCCCTGGGAAGCAGTGCCTGCCCCATGTCAACAGGTCACAGTAGTGACAGACTGTGGGGATGCCAGGTGCCATGCTGCCCCATGTGGGGAGGCTTCCACACGGTGCCTGGGTCTCTGGGCACCGCACCGCTGTTCAGGGACAGGGCCGGGCATGCGAGGAAGGCTGAGCGCCACTGTCGTCATGGAGCTGCTTGGCAGGCTGCCCATGGTACCTATGTTGAGAGGCACTGGCACTGAAGGGGAGTGGGCTTGGATGCCGGCTCCACCAGGGAGAGGGGGCAGCTGCATCCAGGGTCCTGGCCATAAGCCCAGTTGGGCAGGGGTAAGGGCAGGGACTCAGCTCAGCCGCCCCAGGGTCTCAGAGTCTGGAGAGGCAGGGAGAGGGGGCAGCCAGCCCAGCACACCCGGGGCTCCAGCCCCCAAGTGGGGCCAAGAGCTCCGAGGCAGGGTTCTGTGCAGGGCCTGCTCCCTACTTCTCGCCCTTGACCCCAAGTGCAGCCATGAGCCAGGCAGAGCAAGCACCAGGTGGGGCCCAGGATCCGACCATCCGGTACCTCCAGGACATCCTCAGTCTGGTCTGAGGTGAGGATGGAGATCTCGACCTTCTGCCCGTTGGACAGCAGCACCTGCAGCTGCACCTCTTCTGTTGGGATCTGCTGCGTCTCCTGCCAGCAGACCGGGGCAAGGATGTGAGCACCTGACATTCCCCCATCCCAACCTACCCCCAACAGCACCCCTCTGCCCCCGTGTCCCATCTCTAGCCCCTCACACACCTGGCACCCACCCGGCAGCAACACCTGCGCCCCCCAGCCCCACACACCTGCTGGGCTTTGCGCAGGAAGCTATTGAAGATCTCGCTGCCTCCCAGTGATGGGTCCTGCCGCACTGGGGATGAATGCAGGCGGGAGTCAGGTCAGGTGGCTGCCCAGAGCTTGTGGGGCATGGAGTCCATGTGGTACCACTTCCCCCCCAACACCAGGGTGACCTGGCCTGTGCTGGGCAGAGGTGGGTTGGACACCTGGAGGCAGCTGGATGCAGCCTCCCTCAAGGGAGCTCAGGAAGTGGCAGTGTCTGGCGTGACCAGATTGAGGCCTGGCAGCCTGTATGGATGTGGCCCAATGCAGGCAGGGCCCCAGATCCTCCAGCAGCACTTCCATGTAGCCTGGCTGGCAGCTCTGTGCCACAGGGCCACTTTGGTAGTACACACATGCATTGGGGGCTCCCCCGCCTGCATGTACTTTTCCAGCTGCTCCCGCCGCTGCTCCACCTCGGCCGGCGTGAGGGTGAAGATCTTTTTGGGTGGGAAGGCGGGCACCACATTGGCGCCGTACTCCTTACGCAGCTAGACAGAGGCCACAGAGCCATGAGCGGCGAGAAGCGCAGGTGCAGCAGAGCCACAATGCGTGGCAGGTGCCCCATACCCACCCCACACCCCCAGATGCTTCCTGCCTCCCTGGGTGCAGCTGTGTGGGGTCTGGCCCACCCTTGCCTTCTGGCACCCTGTACTATGGCAGCGCAGGGGCTGGTGGGAGCTGCTCTGGAAAGCTGCTGCCCTGGGGGTGGGCAGATGTCTCTGAGCTCATGGCTTGCTGCCCCTCCAGACCCAGCCTCCCCCACCCTTCTCAGGATCAGCCCAGGGAGGGAGCAGTGCAGGAAACATGATTGAGCCAGAGGGACCTGATCTTGCAGGGTGCCCAGCTCCACCCCCCACCCTGCTGCCCCTGTCCCTACCTGCTCGTGCAGGCCCAGCAGCTGGCTGTAGCGCACCCGGCAGTGCAGGACGCCATTCACGTGGATGTTATAGGCCTGCAGGAGGGGCAGACAGACAGACAGGCACATGTGTCAGGGCCACCACAGGCTCTGTGTAATGCTCAGCACATTAGGGGTGAGGGGACACTGGATCAGCCTTCTGCTCGGTTCATGTCCCTTCCTGGGTTGGCAGAGCTGTCCTGCACAACCTCCCTCTGCCCATCCCGCTGGCCAGCAGGGCTGGAGACTGGCAGCGCCACACAGTGTCACCACCTGAGCAAGCCTGTAACAAATGCAGGTGAGGGGCAGTGGGCAGCTGGCATCAGGAGGTGGGGACCATTACCCCACGGGGTGCCCTGCTTCCTGTTTTGCAAGCGACAGGGAATGCCCTCCAGGCTGCGCAGCCCATTGGCGGGGCCAGGATGCGCTGGGCAGTTCCTACCACCTGCCTCCACGCGGGGCCCGCCCCAGCCGCCCTCCCTGCCTCGCCCTGCCTGCCCCGGGGGCAGTGGGCTCCGCGGGCCGCACCATCCCCTGGTCGTGGCCTGCTGCTGCCTCCAGCTCTTTGGGTCCAGGCCAGGGCCTGGCTCTAGGACGGGGGCCCAAGGTCCCGTCGTCCCCACTGAGACCCGGCCTTGCCTGTCTGTTGGTTGCCTCTGGCCTTGGCCTGAGCACTGCGCCTGGCTCGCTCCCCCGCCCCGTGCCGATGCCTGGCACAAGTTGCCCCTCAGTCACTGGTGGCTGAGTGCGTTGCGCTGCTTCTGCCTCTGGCTGTTGGTTGTCTCCCCACCCAGCATCGGCCCTGCGGCCTCCTCCAGCGCTTCCCCCTGGTGCAGGACCCAAACCAAGAGACCAAGGCCAAAAAAGCTTGGGGACTGTGAGAGGGAGGCTGTTTGCAGAGTATGTGGGGAGTGAAAGCAGCCCTGCACTGGCAGAGCCCTTACTGACAGAGGCAGCAAGATCAGCAGTGGGAAGGCAAGGCAGAAGCGATCCATCGCTGTTTCCGCTCTGGGAGGACAACGTGCTCAGGTCACGCGGAGACAAGGAAAGACTTTCCAGACCAGCCGTGACTCGGGAGCACGCTGAACAGCATCTGCTAGCAACAAACCTGCATCCGTCCTCTCCAGGGCTCTGCAAGAGTCAGGCAGGAGCTGAGACCCCCGACTCCCTGCATTCATCGTTAACGCCCCTCAGCCCAGGGAATCTCCAGAGGCCGGGAGAGCGCAAGAACTGGCAGGTACTGGCCACAGGCAGCAACGAGTCCAGGGGGAGACAGTCCAGCCAGCCTGGCCCCAACCCCAGAGCTGGAAAACGGGCACAGTCAAGCAACGGTGACTCACTAGCACCCCTCACTGCATTGTGCTACAACAAGCCACCCTGTGCCTCGGTTTCCCGACGCCGGGACCGTGCTGCATGGCGCTGGCAGCACGGCACGGAGACAGTGGCATTGGCAGGCACGGCCCTGGGCAGCAGCATTCCAGCAGGTCTCCGCAGCCAGGTGCGAAGCCCGACATCCGACTGCATTTTTACCAGCTCTTTGGCAGTGAAGCGACAAGCGGCAGGACGCGGGCCTGGTGCGCCCGAACCAGAGGACAGGGAACCGCACGGGAGCCGGGCGCGGCGCTCAGGCCGAGGCCAGAGGCGACCAACGGACAGGCGAGACCTCAGGCCCCCCGGCCTAGAGCCGGACGCCGACCTGGCCCCGAAGGGCTGGAGGCAGCAGCGGGCCGGGGCCGGGACCGGGACCGCGACCAGGGGACGGCGCAGCCCGCAGGGCCTTCGCTGCAAGACGGCCCGACCCGCGG